AGAGGGAGAGGGAGAAGGAGAGGGAGAGGGAGAGGGAGAGGGAGAGGAAGAGGGAGAGATCAGTTGCCTCCTGCACACGCTATGTCCCCTGACTGGGGCTGGGGATCAAACCTGCAACCCAGGTACATGTCATTGACTGGGAATTGAACCCACATTCCTTTGGTGCACTGAGTACACCGGCCAAGGCTCAGACCCCCTTTTTGCAATTCTTGCATGGTCATCACACCTCACTTTGGAATGTGTTGGATCCTCAGCAGAGACTGATTCAGATTTCCCAAGATTTATATAAACCACTGAGAAAGAATGCCAATTGTTCAGGGGCTTGAGGGGAATATCATTGGTCCAAATTTTATTTGTACAAATTTCTTAAGTGGGAGACCATGAGTAACCGTGTTTCATAAAAAAAGGCCCCTAAAGTATAACTGGAAATGAGATGCCAAAGGATAAGATTCATTTTGAAAGAACAGAGTAAGAGACAAGTTTAGGACAAATAAGAGGTGGTAGATTTCATTCATTTACACATTTATTGAAAAACAGCAATCTAAGTGCTAGCAGTCTCCTGGGTGATAGGTACACAAAAATGACACAAAGTTCTCGCCCTCAAGGAGATCATCATGGCCTAGCAGAGAAGTAAACCACAATTAAAATAGGCACGTGCGTGAAAATACATTCAACTCTTGGTAGTAAAAATAAGGGAAATGTACAAGGTGGTTTAGCAAATAGGAGCTTGGGTATCAGTGAAGTCTCCCAGAGGAAGCGACCAAAACTGGGAGTGAAGAGCAGTAGACATTAGCTATGAAGGAGGGATATGTATACTAACAGGACAGAATAGAAAGATCCAAAGCATAAAGGCTTCTGAAGATAATGGAAAATTGGAGGAACTGCGTATAGTTTGGTATGGCAGAAATGAGGGTATAAAGATGGAGAGGTAGGCAGCACCAAAGTAGGGAAGTTGTGAGGACTCACTAAAGAATTTTAAACTGGCAAATGATGTGATCTGATTTGTACTTTTGAAGGCTCATTCTCTGTGGTGTGGATAATGAATTGAAAAGAAGCAGAGTCAGAGGCAGGGAGACCAGAGAGGAGGATGTTGCCATGTAATAGGCAAGAAATGATGAAAGCAATGGAACTGGAGATGAATAAGAAGGGGAAGATTTGAAGACATTTCTAAGACAGAGTAAGTGGAACTTGGTAACAGAGTGGATTGGATTAGAGAAACACAAGGGAGGAGTCCAGAAGGACTTCCAAGTTTCTCTGGTTTGAGGTATTTATTGGGTGGTGGTGCTATTTAGGGAAACGAGAAAAATAGGCAGAGAAGCAGATTTCAATTCTTTCATTTGTTCATTCATTCAACAGACATTTATTAAAGGCCCATTACATGCTATGAATAGACAAGTAAATAAATGATTAAAATGCCCTGTGAAAAGTGTCAGTGATAGAGGTATGCACAGGGGAGCAATTGAATAAATAGGATAGGTATATAAATCACATTGAGAAATTAGGGGAAGCCCTTGGAGGAGATAATGCCTAATCTGAGCTTCTTAAAAAGAATTGAGGTGAAATTCATAGAACATAAAATTAACCATTTTAAAGTATACGATTCAGTGGCATTTAGTACAAAGTGTTGTTCAACCACCGCCTCTATCTAGTTCCAACTATTTTGAGTTTTGAAGGATGATTAGGAGTTTGCTAGATGAAGAAGGGGGCGAAGAAGAGCATTTTGGGATATGAGAACAGCATGATTGATGACATGAAGGACAGAAATAGAATGCAGAAGGGGGAGTAGTGAAAGACAAGGCTAAAGAGGGCCCAATAATAAAATGTCCAAATTTTGCCCTAACCGGTTTGGCTTAGTGGATAGAGCCACGGCCTGCGGACTAAAGAGTCCCAGGTTCAATTCTGGTCAAGGGCACATTCCCCAGTCGGGGGCATGCAGGAGGCAGCTGAATCGATGTTTCTCTCTCATCGATGTTTCTAACTCTCTATCCCTCTCCCTTCCTCTCTGTAAAAAATCAATAAAATATATTTTTAAAAAAATGTCCAAATTTTAACTTGATCCAGAAGACCTGGGAAGCCCTCAACAGATGCAAAGCTGGGGTTTGACATGATCAAGTTTGCCTTTCAGACAGATTACTCTGGGGATGCTCTGGATAGGAGAAAGCCAGGAAGATGGGTTGGGAGAGTTTATGCAGCAATCCAGGTGAGAGGTGATTAAAGTCTGAACAAGGGCAATGGTAGTAATAATGGAGGGAACGGAAAACAAGACATAATAAAGATGCAGAATTCACACGACCTCATGACTTATTAGACATCAGACTAGGCAGGGGTCCTCAAACTTTTTAAACAGGGGGCCAGTTCACTGTCCCTGAGACCGTTGGAGGGCCAGACTATAGTTTTAAAAAAAAAACTATCAACGAATTCCTATGCACACTGCACATATCTTATTTTGAAGTAAAAAAACCAAACAGGAACAAATACAATATTTGTATTTGCATGTGGCCCGCGGGCCGTAGTTTGAGGACCCCTGGACTAGAGGAAGACTATAGGATGATTCCCATTATTCTGCCTTGGGTGACTGGAATGATGGTGGTAGCATCCTGGGATGAAATCTTGGGGGGGGGGGGAATGGTAATTACAGGTTGGTGGGTTGAGTGTGAGTTTCCTGAGATTCAACTACATGAAGGGTTTCAGTCAGTTTAGTAAATGGATCTGGATTTCAGAAGAGAGATCTTGGGTCGAGAGAGAATTGAGAATCTTTTTGTTGGTAAATGTATCATGAGTTTGGATAAAATCACTCAGGAAAAGTGTACAGAGAAGGATGAGCAGGGAACCTAGTGCTGAGCTTTGGGAATCAACATTTAAGGTGTGATAAGAGGATAGAGCTATATGGTTAAATATTGTGGTCATACTGAGGTCAAGAAAGAGTTTAGCAGCAGCGGGCAGAAGAGTGGCATGGAGTTTTAAAAAGGAGAGAAAAAGGGGGAAAGGGAAATGCTGGTTTAATTTGAAGGGGGAGGGTGGTGGGGTCTGTGGCTTAATGATATTGCTTGGACTATGTTATTGTCCCTGGGGCCCCAACAGACCATACAAATCTCTCCACTCCAAAATAAGCAATTTATTGCTCCACCAACATTTTTACAAACAATTTCCCAAGTAAATACAATTTCTTCTCAAAATAATTTTATGGAATAAAGACAAACGTTCACCAATTATGGCTACACCCCCTCAAGAAAAGATTTAATCCTCTGCAATTTCTTCCTCCCAATTCTGAGGCCCAAAAAGGTATCAGTTTTTGGGTTAAAGGCATCAAAGAGAGAAGAAGGCAAAATTTTGAGCTGTCTCAAAAAAAGAAGGCAAGAACCACTTCTTTTCTTTTGGTCCAGATACTCTCCTTCAGCTTCTTATGACCATTATTTTCACAGATGTCTCCTCCTTTTGCTACCCAAGGCCAATAAAAGACTCTTCCTAAATCCCCCAGACAAACCTGAGCAGGGTGCCTGAATGGGACTGTTTGTGTGGGGCTCTAGCAAGATTAATGGTTGTTCTGAGTATGGAAAACAGGACCCCGAGTCAGGTTCTTAGGTTCTATTTTTTTTCTTCCCTTCCTCACACTGCCCCTTTTTGCCCACTACTTCCACATTTGCTTGTCTGGACTAAAACTTAGAAGGGTTGATAGAAGGGAGGCCTAAAGTCACTTTTTTCTTGAAATGCTGCAACTCTGACGGATATCTGGGGGCTCTTTCTTTACATTTCTTTGCCTTACCTGGGCACAGCCTGCTAGGGAATGAAGAGGCTGAGCCCTGGAGTGAGAGTGGAGGCGCAGGTTTATGCTTCTTTCCCAGGGTAACTAAGCCCTCCTTACTAAGTTAGGTGAAAACAAGGGAGGAAGAGCAATGACTGATTCCTTTGGGGTTTCCCTAAAGCTCTCTACTTTTTATGAGCAATGTTTTTCCTGGGCCACTTGGACTTCATAAACATGCCAGAAGTGATGAGGGGCCCAAAGCCCTGTTTATGGGAGAATGCGTAGGCAGAACGTCGAGAGCCTGTCATTTTCAGTTTACTCCGGACTGGGTATGTCAGTGGATGTCTCAAGCCATGAATTGTGTCAAAAACCTATAGCCAGAGCAGGGGGACAGGGTTTTTATCCACAGAGGCAAAGGCAAAGAGGGTCATGAATTGAATTATATCTCAGTAGATTCCCTGTTTCACTCACCTTATCCACACTTAAGGGCCATAATAGTGGTTTGAGAAACTGGTACCCAAGGGCTGGCAACACACAGAGGACCACGCTGAGGACAATACTCAGCCACAGTTGTGGCACATTCAGAGTGTTCTTTGCCACACCTGCAAACAATGAGCCAGGAGGGGAAAGGCTGAACCAGAGCATAGAGGAAGGGGCTGTCAGCCAGAACTTAGATACCTCTGCAGTCCAAAGAAGGAAGTTATTGATTTGGTGACAGTTTAGTCTCCTCAGAAATAATATAAATGCAAAAGAATTGCAGTGAGGTCCTTTTTACAGCCAAAGTCACTGTGAATCCACATGCCTTTGTCTCCCTCTAAAGGCTGGGCAGGACAGGAAAGTTGGAGGTTGGTTATAGGAATCATAGAGCGTTGGACTGGACACAAAAGTGGGATAGAGGACTTTTGGAGGGGGGAAATGAATGGCTTGATAGAAGTGGGAGCCAGCTACATCTACATATATACTCTCCCTGTCCTCATCAGAGTGAAGAGGAAAGAAGGGAAACTAATATAGGAGACAATAAGGCAGGATGCCACAGTGAAAAGAATACTGGACTGGGAACCAGGAGACCTAGATTTGAGTCATTTAAAATTTAAAAACCTTCAGTCTCTAAAATGGTGCTAATAATTCTTGCTCTGACTACCTCAGAGGATGCTTGTAAAGATCAAATTAGATAAGAAATTAAAAATGTCTTAAAACTCTATAAGGTAAAATATTTCCTCTAGCTAGATTCTGAGTCCTTTTAGGGCAACGGCCATGTCTTGTTCCTATCTATCTCCACGGAGCCTAGCACAGAGTAATAGCTTCTCAGTAAACATTTATTAACCTCCCCCCTCCCCTTGCCACACACTGGACAGAGCCTTACCTAGGAATTGGAAGATATTGGGTAATATTACACACAAGCCATCATCACTGTACAGGAAGAGTAAGATGCAAAAGTAGAAACCCAGGCTACCCCAGGTGAATAAGTGGTTTATCATCGTCCAGTAGGTTGTCTCCAGGGCAATCTGAAAAACACCCTCTTATGTGCAATATTCTATAACCTGGGACCTATCAGCCACTTCCATTCTCCAATTCTATAATAGAGGATTCTCCCTTCCCCCTTCCCTCCGTGCTTCCCTCCCTCTCTTCCAGACAGTCTCCCCATCCAATGCCCTTACCCCCACCACTACCGTCCACACCTGCATTGTGACCACCCAAAGCAAGGAGGTCTGCACTATCAGGGAGAAGGATTGGTAGTCAGAGATTTCCTTCCCATCACTGCGCACTGAGTTGAAAATGGTACCCATAGGTATAAAGAACAGCACGAAGGAACTGTAGATCCCATGTACTAAACACTTCAAAAATTCCTTCTTGTTGAAATAGAGGTTGAGTTGGCCTGGCTCATACAGCTCTGGGAAGCGTAGGCTCCATGTTTCATTCACATCCTGGAAACACCAGAAGGTAAGGAGGAAGGCTCAGGAAGGTCCCATCTCCATCAGAGTAGAGGCTTCTCCCCACACTGAATCTGCTGCCAGCTGCCTAGGAGCTTCCTCATGGATTACTTGAGAAGTGGGACCAGGGGACAGATCAGTGACCACAGACACTGCTTGAAGTCCTACTCTCTAGGCAAGGATCTAGGTGGTGGAAGAAAGCTAGGAGAAGGTCAAGATGGTGGGAAGGACCTAGAGCAGTGATGGCGAACCTTTTGAGCTCGGTGTGTCAGCATTTTGAAAAACCCTAACTTAACTCTGGTGCCGTGTCACATATAGAAATTTTTTGATATTTGCAACCATAGTAAAACAAAGACTTACATTTTTTATATTTATTTTATATATTTAAATGCCATTTAACAAAGAAAAATCAACCAAAAAAATGAGTTCGCGTGTCACCTCTGACAAGCGTGTCATAGGTTCGCCATCACTGACCTAGAGGCACTGAGGATTGGGGACTTTAAGAAAGGAGACAGCCCTAGCCGGTTTGGCTCAGTGGATAGAGCGT